TCCGGCTGGATCCTCCAGCCAGTGGGCTTCCAGCCGCTGTCTTCTTCCCCACAGCGGACCCCGGGGATCGACTGCAGCAGTGCAGCAGCACCATCCAGTCTTTGCTTGGTGAGTAAACATTGGGCCTCTTGAGGTAACCTTGGCACCCTGGGGTGCGGCGAGTCCTTCAAGTTCTGCCTACCCCTTGCAGGTTTACCAAATGCTGCCCTGCAGGCCCTCTGCAAGCTGATCACCGCCTCTGAAACAGGAGAGCAGCTGATTAGCCAGGCAAGTACCGGCCTGCCTTCATGGCAGTGGGGCTGGTTGCCTCTGGAGGTCTCAGCTCCAGGTATGGCACCTGAGCAAACGCTTCGTTCTCCCCCTCTTGCTGCTCTGAAGCACCATTGAGCTGCTGCCCTGCATTCCAGCCTAGCTCTAAACATTCTCTTTCTCTCTTTTTCCACCCCCCTCCTGCCCGCCTGCCTGCCTGCCCTTTCTACTCCCCAAAGGCTGTTAAAAATATGGTGGGAATGGTGAGTACAGGATCCCCCCTTGGGCTGACAAGAGGAGAGGGGCAGGGGGCAATGATCCCCCTTCCCTGCTTGAGCAGAGGGGCGGGGCTGGCTGGCTGGGGCTTCCTCCTTTCTTCCTTGTGACGTCTGCTGTGATTCCTGTTTTGCTTTTGCACCCCCTTTTCTACCCTGGTATTTTCCTGGGGCAACCCTTGGGAGGAGGTTGGAGCAGAAGGATGGGCTGGGACCAACTGACTGGCAACTCCTCCTCCTCAGCTCCATCAGGTTCTAGTGCAGCTCCAGGTTGGAGAGAAGGAGCAAGATTTCGCACTGGCCCCGATTCAGGTCTCCATCAGTGTTCAACTTTGGCGGTTGCCTGGTTGCCATGAGTTCCTGGCAGCTCTTGGTAGGCAAATGTCTCTGGAAAGATGGGGAATTCTATGGGGAGCAGGGTTGGTCTCTCTTCTTGTGCTCCCCAAGAGGCCTCCACAGCCTCTGGGTTGGAGACAGGCAGAGGGTCTGAGTTGAGGGGGGAAAAAATCTGAGAATCCTGCAGGGGGCTCATCAGGCTGTGCTTTGCTGCTTGCAGGATTTGATCTGTGCGAGGTAGGGCAGGAAGAAGTGATTCTGAAGACGGGCAAGCAGGCCAGCCGCCGGACAATGCATTTTGCACTCCAAACTCTGCTGGCTCTTTTTGGTGAGGCTCTTTCTGGGGAGACGGGGGGGCATGGAGGCCTTGGGGGGAGAGCAGCTTATTTTCAGAGCTCCTGGGCTGGGGGGAGTCACTAGGACAGAACAATGGCAGAGCCACGGTCTGCCCATGTCCCTTGGCTGTTCCTGGGCTTCTGACTTCCACAAGCAGCACAACATACTGGTGTAGGCTTTCACAGCTGGCATCTGAAAATCTGCAACCATGGTCACCAAAACTGAAGCCCAATGCTGCCCAGGGCAACTGTACTTTGGTGCACAAGAGTAGATGATGCCAGTCACAGAGAGGGGGAAAGCGTAAGAAAAGTGAGGTTCTAGTGAAGAACCATCTGAGGGGGCAGCCTTGGAGTGTGTGTGAAGCCCAAACACCTTGACTTTCATGGGCCCTCACCTCTCCACCTGGTTGTGCCAAGTTCTTGTAAATGGGAGGACCCCCAAACCTGAGTTCCCCAAGTGTGCTGTTTTAGAATTAATTTGCTGTCCCATTCCTCTCTTTAGATTCCACAGAACTTCCCAAACGTCTGAGCTTGGACAGCTCCTCCTCGCTTGAATCACTGGCCTCGGCCCAATCCATCTCCAATCCCGGGCCGCTCCTTGGCCACAATCCCCCCTTCTCTCCTACGGGCCCTGACAGCCTGGCCTCTGACGCCATCTCCGTCTACAGCCTGAGCTCCATTGCTTCTTCCATTAGCTTCGTCTCCAAGCCTGAGAGCATGTTTGAGGTAGGCGGCTCCAGGGGGCACCAAGATGCCGAGAGGCCTAAGGCCCTTTATCCCCAAAGGGTCTCCTTGCCCCAGAGTCATTTCTCAGCACAGGCCAGAGCTGGTTCCAGCAAAGATGAAGAGGAGTACGAGGGGTTCTCCATAGTCAGCAATGAGCCTCTGGCAGGATACCAGGAGAGCCCAGGGATGTTTTCCACAGACCACAGCCGTCCTCAGACTGGAGAGGTCAGGAGCTCTGTTAACTTCAAGCGTAGCCTCAGTTCCCCAAACTCCCCAGGTAAAATGGCACTCGTTCGCAGCCCAAACTCCCCTTTCCAGAAGGTTGGGAAACGAGTGGGTTCAGATGCAGCTGAATCAGACCATTCCAGTAGCGAAACAGATAGCACTATCAAATCCTCCCAAGAGGAAGGGAATGGCTCAGAGCTGGATCCTCAGGAGCTGGCCCAGAAGATCCTGCAGGAAACGCAGAGTCACCTCCTCGCCGTGGAGCACCTCCAGTGTGGCGGCAGCCATCGCTGTCCCCACCAACTTGGCCGAAGCAGCAGCCTGGATGATGGGACTGCCTCGCCCTCCAGGGTCACCACCTTCCGGTCATCAGAGACCAGTGCCTTTAGCAGGCCACTGTGCTCCAGCATCAAAAGTCGGCCTTCTCCTACCCCAGTGAGGCCTGAGCTCCTCCTCAAGAGTTCCTCCCTGCGAACATCCAGCTCTGGACAAAACAGTCCTTCTCCCTCTGAGACGCCCACCAAGGAAAGTGCCAGGCAGCCCTCCCCCAGCCTGGACTCTTGTGGGCCTGTGGCAGATCAGCCAGTCTTCAGGTTGAAGTATCCCAGCTCTCCCTACAGTGCCCATATATCCAGGTCGCCACAAAATATCTCCCCGAGCTCAGGGCATCGATCCCCAGCAGATAGCACTCCCTCCCCAGCCCTTTCCTACTCCTCTGCCAGCTCGGCCCGTTCCAGCCCCGCCAACCCGCCTGCCCTAGACAAGCTCAAGATGGCGGCCATCGATGGAAAAGTGCAGGCCATTCACAATCTGAAGATGTTCTGGCAAAATGTCCCACAGCAACCTTCTGGCCCCATGAGGAGCCCCCATGGCTCTTCTGGGAAGGCCTCCAAGCGAGATGTGCTGAGCCTGCTGAATCTGTCTCCCCGGCGTAGCAAAGAGGAAGCCACCGACAAACTGGAGCTGAAGGACTTGTCTGCTCCTTGTGCTCTTTTGCAGAACTCTCCCAACGGGCGTAGACCTCCAGCTGACTCCAGCAGCGCTCTGGAGTCGAGCTACCCCATACGGCTACCTTCTGGCAACGGCTACAAGTTTTTGTCACCAGGAAGGTTCTTCCCTTCGTCAAAGTGCTGAATCTCAAGCGGCTCACTTGTTTGTTTACCTGGGTGGAGTTTCTGGGCCTTTTTTTTCCCTGTTCAGTGGCTTGAAAGATACAGTACAATAGGAAGCAGGTTGGGGAACTGGAGCCCAGCAAGATGGATTTGAGCAGAGGCTGGGCCTATGGATCTTGCTTAGTGTCAGACAGCTGTTCGTGGTCTTCTCAGTCGCCACTCAGTGGTGCTGGGCAGGGGAGGAGCAGCAATTCTACTAGGCAGCATACACAATTTTTTGTGTTGAAATACAAGCCATTTTGTCAGTGCTTCCAGGAAGGGTTGGGAGTTTGAGAAGGCTTCACACGACAGCCGGTTGAGAAGCAAAGCAAGGTTACACAGAGAAGGACACGGAAAAGGACACGGCTGCTTCTATCCCCAGGATCAACCCAGAGGCTCTCCTGGCTGGGCCAGGCAGACCTCCAAGTGTGGCAGCACCAGAACCCGCGGCAGGTTCCGCAAGGTGCCCATCTCCAAGTGACTCTGGGAACCCGCTCGAGGCCGGGGCTGACGGCCCGAAGCGGAAAGCTGCTGCCCCGGAGGCGCCTCTCCTTCTCCCAGCCTCCCCTGCGCTGTCTGCCATAAGCCCCTCGGTCTCTTCCCGTTTAAATTGTGTGTCCTGTGAAGGGGGAGGGCGGAGAGTGGGCATCCTTCGGCCCCACGGCTGGACCTTCCCTTCGTTTGCATGCAGCCGGGCACCGAGCGCGCCTGGGGCGGTGGGTGCGGCGGCCCCTCCCCAGCATAAAACAGCCCCCCCGCCCAAACGCTTGGTTTGGGGAGGCGCCTCCTTTCTGGGCTGGAGGCGCGCCGGGAGCCCGTGGTTTCCCGTCCCGGGGCCGGAGAGGAAAAGAGCGCCGCGGCCTGAAGCTGCCACGTTGGCTGCCGGAGCCGCGCCGGGAGCCCAGGGCCGGTGCCTGCGGGCCCCTCGACCCCTATGCAAAGCCGCCACTCCGGGCGGCCAGAGGCGGGAGCCTCCACAATGGTGCTTCGAAGGCGGCCCGCTCCGCTTCCTCTCCCCCCCCCCACGTACGTCCTCACCGGAAGGGAGGGGACGCCGCCATTCGGCCGTGTTTAGCCGGACTGGCATTTTTTTGTAGCCGCGCCTCCGTTTCCGGGCGGCGTTACACGTTTTGTATTCTGAGTCCGCCCCTATTTTTATGGCAATTGCTGAGGCCTTTGGCCGCCCTTTGTGATTTCCGTGTCTATTAAAGCATGAGCTCTCCAGCGCTGGCCGTCCTGATTTCCGGGGGAGGGATTAGGCTGCGTGTCTGACGAGGGGACGTTCTCTCGTGAGCGCTTCCGGTACACAGAGGAAGCTATGGTCTTAGCCCGGAAGCAATTCATCCATAAATTCTGCGGACAGCAAGATACGGACGCCGCTCCAGACTCCGGTCCCCAGAGACCCAAGCTGCTCTGCTAACGTGGCCGTGGAATTTTAGTGGCCGCCTCTAAACGGTTACATTTTTCTGGATGTATGGTCATCCGGGTGACTTCACCCACTTCCGGGGGAGGGAGTTGTAGCCCGACGGGCCAAGGCCTGCCGTTATGTCGCATCATTGGTTGGGGAGCCGGATCGGTTAGGTTGTCAACCAATGAGCGGTAACGTACGGGCGGCCCCTCGCCTGCTGCGCCGTGATTGGCTCCGGCCGAGATGGGGCGAGGCTCGGCTCCCGGAAGTGCCTCGCGCTGTGGCCTATGGGTAGGCGGCCGCGACGGCGCCTGCGTGTTGGGCTGCTGCCTGCGGGAAGATGGTGCTCATCAAGGAATTGTGAGTGGCCTGGAGTGGGGGGGCGGTCTATTCCGGGGGGGGGAGCCGTCTGGCGCTGTTTCCTCGCGCAGGGGTCCCGGCGGGCCCTTCGGAGCTCGTCGGGTCTCCCCCGCCCGGCTAGCGGCGCCCCTCCCTCGGCTGACGAGCCCGCTCTGTTCCCCTTTGCAGCCGCGTGGCCTTGCCGTGCTCGGTGCAGGAGGTAGGTGTTGCCCCCCCCCCCCGGCCGCTCCCGCTCCTGCTCCTGGGGAGGAAATCGAGGCAGGGTTGTTGGGGGGGGCGGAAGGGATGAGCCTGGCGTCCGGCTGGGGAAGAAGCTCCGGCCGGGGCTCTCTGCTTTTCAGCCGGGGAGGGGGGAGGGGGGTCCCAATCCTGCCGCGGTCTCCTGTCAGTACCAGGTCGGACAGCTGTACTCCGTGGCCGAAGCCAGCAAGAATGAGACGGGAGGCGGAGAAGGCATCCAGGTCTTGACCAACGAGCCTTACGAGAAGGACGGGGAAAAGGGCCAGTACACGCACAAGATCTACCACCTGAAGAGGTAGGGGGCGGCTTGGGGCCCCTCCTGAAGCCTCCCCGGCTTCAAGCTGTTGTGCCTGGAGATGTTCCCTGCCTGTATTCTTCCCCGTGCCTCCACTGCGCTGGGCCTCTCAGCACCATCCATTAACATCGCAGCCCTGCAAAATCGTGCCTCTTTTTATAGGAAACTGTGGGGCGGGGGGGGGGAGCGACCTATTACTGGAAGAGCCACGGCTGTATTTCTGGGGAGTGTCAGGGTTAGGGAGCCTGGGACAGGCTGAGAAGGCAGCGTATACTTTCAAAAAGGAGCAAGTAATGATTGCGGAAATACATACGTAGCCCCTTTGTGCTGAGCTCACGCAAAGCTGTGGGAGGAATGTGTTTATGAAGAGATTGCTAAAATGGGAGTAAAAACTGTTGATCTTATTTTTTGGCAAAAATAAACCTATGACTCTGCTTCCTCATAGCAAAGTGCCTGGCTTTGTGCGGATGTTTGCTCCGGAAGGTTCCCTAGTATTTCATGAAAAAGCCTGGAATGCATATCCTTACTGTAGAACAGGTGAGTGTGCTCTTCCCTTTTTCTCAGAAGGATGCTCTCAAGAGGGCTGAGTTAAATGCTCAGGTAAAGCCAGAGAAGACTCTATTATCTAAAACCATCTGCAATTGCAAATTTAGTTGCTGCTCGCTAGAGGGAAATGCTGATTAAACAGAACATTAAGGCTTATATTGACTCATCATTGGTAGGTGTGAGAGCAGGCAACTGATTGCCACTGGCCTGTAAGAAAGGGATGATGGACATTGTAGTCTGAAGCCTAGTGGTTAGGAGGGATTGGTGCATGTTTGTTGTGCTGAGATTAGATGATGATAAACATTGTTATGATTTTGCTAGCCATTTCTTTGTTCACTTTCAATTGGGGCTCTGTGGCCACCCTGTTCCACTTGGCATTTAATCTGGATAATATAGAGAGCATAATGAAGTTACGTAGCTGTCCTGTTACAGTGCAGTCACTTCTCTTTGTCTCCATCTCTTTCTCCTTCCATAACATCCTGGGGAACAGTCGTTACGGTGAGTATTTTCTCTTCTTATGCTTGTCATTGTGGCTTAGCAAAAATTTACAGGCCTTTGGGTTTCAGTGTTAAGGATGCTCTCTCGAAGTGAAAAAGTCTGCAGGCTGGTGGGGAGCTGGGTGGGGCTGGCCTGCAAAGGGAATGACACCATCTCCTCTCAGAGCGATTCTTGAGCTTTACAACACAGGACCTTTGGGGAAGGAAGTTGAACCAGTCTTCATTCTCATCTTCTGCAAACCACACCCCCTACTTGCATGTTGGACTTAGATACTGGCAATGAGGGTCACTTCCAGCAGAGAAGATTGTGCTGGAATTTGCATATTCTGGTGCTGTATTTCAGGCTGCATGTTCTATGCACATTGTGGGAGCCTTTTAGCAGATCTGTGGCCTCCACTACTCAACACGTCCCTCGCACTAGTCCTATCCTATCCTGCCTCCCACTGAACTTTCCAAGAAATGCTTGGGGGGGGGCTCTCTGTGCAATGAACATCGCCAGTTTTTGTCCAGTTCCCCCACTCTACGTCTACCTTTGTCTTGAGATGCATTTCCATTTGTTTTTGTTTCCGTAGAATGAATACATGAAAGAGGATTTTTTTATCAAAATTGAGACTTGGCATAAACCTGACTTGGGCACGTCGGACAATGTAAGCTGGCCGTAAGCAGTTTGTTTCTGGGTCTGGGAAATGGAGGGCTCTCTGCTTAGATTTGTGTGGCTCCCACCGCCACTCAGGAGGATCGGCAGCTTCCTGCTTGGTCTGGAGATTGACATTGCTTCAGTGCTGGGACTGAGTTTTTCTTCTGCCTCCAGACTGTGGCGGGTGTTTTAAAACATTGGCGTACTTTCTGATCAGAGTGATTTGAGCAGTTTAAGAAAATGCAAGGGTAGCAATGGATATGGGTAAAACAACGTAAAAGCACAATTAAATGTCCAAATTCAAAATACCTAAGCTGGATTGTAGAAGGTGGGTGTTCTTATTTTAAGACTTGCGTTCATTATTGCAGCTCACTTTAAGAATGTGGCCCGTATATTGCTCTTCGAAACCTCCCCTTTGGCTTTCCTTGTAGATTGGCAGAGCCTGGATTTAACTTTCCTGGCTGCCTTGCCAAAGTCTGTGGAAAGGCCTCCCTGCTGCTAGGCATGCCTTGCAAGCAGGTATTCGCCCCGTGCAAAGGGGAAGAGGGGGTTGGCCCTGTGATCAGTGGGGCTTTCTCTTCCTGCAGGTCCATGACTTGGATCCCAATACATGGAAAAACGTGGAAGTTATTCATATCGATATAGCAGACAGAAACCAAGTGGAGCCTGGAGTAAGTTGAATTCACATCTCTCCTGCAGCTTGATGCTGCGGGTTGGGTTTATTCCTGTTCCCGCATATAAACGCTACTTCAAAAGAGGGAAGTTAAGAGCTTCTTCAATGGTGGGTTGAAAGAAGCCAGTCAAGCTGCTTAGCCATCAGTATCTCTGTAGCCCAGGTAGGCTGCTCTGGGATCGACAGCCGCTGGTCCTTTTCCTGCCTGCCAGGCTGAAGCAGTAATGGGGATTTCAGCTTCCAACTAAATGAAGTGCCTCCTGGTAGCTGGGGGTGAAAGCGGTTTCCCAAAATCTTGGAGGCAGTAACCAAAGCTTAGAAATTCCTCACTTAGTGCATCAACTCCCTGAGATGTCTTTGTTTTATATAGATATAAATATATAAATTTTGTTAATTTTTTTAAAAGATAAAAGCTAATACAAACTATTATAAGAAAACAAAGAGAAAACCAAAAATGCAAGTTAAGAAAAAAGAAAGAAAAATAGAAAAAGATACAAAGAAGCATCTTCCAATCCTCTTTAGAGCAGTTCTAAACACACATAACTTTACCTCTTTCTGTGGTTACAATATAATTCTTTTTTTCTATAATTCCGTCTAATCATCAAAATTATAAATTATCATTTTTTTCTGTTTCACACAAAAAGTTTATAAAGGGTTTGCAGTCAGCAATAAATATAGGTATCTTTTATCTGACCAAAAGAAGTCAATTTAGCCATCTCAAGTTGTATCTTCCCCATCTACCTCCGTTCCTTCTTTGTACATAACGATAATCTCGCTACAGTTATGTATAAATACAAAATTCCATTACATTTTTTTCAACCATCCATCAATCCCAAAAGAAAAACCTCTGGTATCTGTCAGTCTGCCTATGTCTGTCTATCTGTCTATCTATCATCTGTCTTCAGTAACCACCCAACATCTGATTGTGGGTGACTCACAATTCTAAAATTATGGGAAGTTTAAAAAACATAAAAGCAATAAAAGTATCCCCAAAACAAATAAGTATAAACCGTAGCTGTGATGATTAATCAACTAATAGTAATGCCAAGTAATGGGACCCTTAACACTTTGTGAGCCCCAAGCCCCCCCCACCCCCACCCCCCGGGTACATAGCCAAGTTTTCAAAGCTTTGCGAAAAGCCAGCAGGGGTGGAGCCATTCTGATCTCCGAGGGGAGAATATTCCATAAGGCCGGGGCTACAACAGAAAAAGGCTAGTTCCCATCATTTGGCACTCCTTGGCTGACAGGAAGTGCAGCATGTCCAATTGGAGGGATAGAAGCACTTGGAAAAAACAGGTCCTTCAGGTAGCCTGGTCCCAAGTCATGTAGGACTTTAAAGATGGCAACCAGCACTTTGAATTGCACCCAGAAACAGCTCATGGAGTAGCGGTGTTAACGTGATGTGTAGCCGGCACCATTTATTACCCATTTTGCACCAGTTGAAGTTTCTGAATGCTCTTCCAGGGCAGGAGTGGAGAGAGAGAGAGAGAGCTGGGTGTCATCTGCATATATCTCACCCCAAACTGACAGTTCCCCTCACCCTGTGGCTTCATAGATGTTAAATAGGAGATCAGAGGATATAATAGAACAATAACTTTGTCACTTTGAATGTACACTAATCGGTATACATTAAAATGAAGTTTTGTTGCATACAGCTCTCAAAGGGTCACCACCCCCCAATATACACTACATAAATATGACAAAAATAAATACAGAATTATGCATTTACCCACATATATGACACAGAGAGACAACACAGTCTAGTTGTGGAGAGAACTGGCCCGCAGAATTGTCAAGAGTCGGACATGACTGAATGGATAGCATCATCTAGTTCTCTTTCCAACTCTCTGTCTATAATTTCTGCCTTACTCTAAAAATTTTTGCTTTGTCATTAATTTGTTTATGCACTTATCTGGACATCTCTTTTCCAGCTCAGTAGGTGTTACATGCCTATAGTTGTCATATTGAGATAAAAGGACAACACAGTCACAGCTCATGGACTGAGCCCAGTGTCAAGAAATTGCTTCTTTTCTCTCTAGCTAAATTCTAACTACATGTCTCCCTTTTGAATGCTAGAAAGCTATTTTTTACTTTGACAAGAGCCTTTTTAAGGTTAATTTTACTGTCTGTAGCCGTCTTTATCTTTCCACGGTAATTCAGTTCTGAGCTGAAAAGGAAGGATGGTTTCTGTACAGGGAGGCATAAGCGGAGTGGCAGTTCCCTCTCCTGGCCTCTTTTCCCTGTCTCAGTCAGTCCTGAGTTGCTTGCCTTTCGCAGATTTTATCTCTGTGGTTCAAGTTCTGGTGCTCTTTGAAAAGACACTTCCTGCCTCTGTAGCCCCTCAAGGGTTTCTTTCTGGGGGAGGACAAGACTCGGCTGCTCTCAGGTGTGTGCCTCTGGCAGCAGAAGCTTGGCTGAGAAGCAGGCGATAGATAATCTTGTGAGTGCAGGGAAGGACTGCCCCCCCCCCCCGACTGCAGGCCCTCGTGCAACGCAAGCCCTCAGCCTGAGGGAACGCTGGCCAAACAGCCCAGCCACTCTTTTCGATTCTAAACACTGATCAATAAACAGCCTGGCTCCAAACTCTGCCTGCTCTTGGAATCCCTAATGAAACCCAGATGCCAGCCCTGGGTTTTCCCAAATGTATACAAATGCTTGAGCCGACAGCTGCCACTATCCTAAGGTAGAAATTTAGGCCTGGCCTCTCCTAATCAGCTCCAGAGGTTTTGTCTAAGCAGTTTTGCATGATTTGTTTACAAAAGTCACTTCCCAGGAAAGGAAGAATTGTTAAACTGTGAGCAAACGAGACACATAATTAACTTCAGAAAGAGATGCAGCTTGAGAAGTAATTTGAAAGAAAATAAGCAGAGTGAAAGCAAACAAAATTGAAATCAGCTTTGTAGTTTTTTCTCTGCTTCAGATTGAAAGCAGTGTGAATTGCCTCTGGCTTTCCTTCACCTCCACAAATGTTGGGTGGGTCATAGCCCAGCAGTCCTGTGGTCTCCCAGCAGCATTTCAATAACTTGCATCCTCTTTCTGTCAGTTGCTTTAGACTAAGTTGCAAATATAGAACCATTATAAGCCCTTCCAGGGAACAAACCTTTTTGACCCAGTGGGATTTAACTTTTGAGCTCAGTCTGCATGAAATGACACACCAAGAGGGCCGCAGAAAGGAGCCGGGGGCAGGCAGCAAGAGGAGAACGTGGCCTTCAGGGCAGTAAGTCTCTTTCCCTCTCCTCCCAATTTTTCTTGGGGCTTCATATACGCAGTGCAGGTAGCTTCTCTTTTCCAAACTTCTCCAGTTCTCTCTTCCCAGCCTTACTTTGGAGTTTCTTTGAATCTGCAGGACTACAAAGCTGATGAAGACCCAGCATTGTTCCAGTCGGTCAAGACCAAAAGAGGCCCTTTGGGGACTGACTGGAAGGTAATACAAGCCAAGAAAGGCAACTTGGAAGGGGCTTTGAGAGGCTGCCAGGTCTACGTCAATAAAAGTGGAGAAATGTCAGGGCGGGCTTATGCTGTGGCCAGCCTGAGCTTGGGCACTTTCCCCTTGCCCTACAGGCACCCTTCAGGATAGTGGAATCTCTTGGAAGTTAAATGGAGCTGTGGGCTAAGCTGTTCCTTGGTTATGGGTTGTTAAGACCCCAACAAGAGGGATTCAGATACACATGGCCTTGGGTTCAAGAGATAACCTGTGGCCATTACGATTTCCATCCGAGCTAGCAGCCGTTTTCTGTTCCCAGTTTCCCGAACTGACTGGGAAGATGTGTGTGAGAAACCGCTTCCTCTTCGGTCCCCCATTGACTAGTTTAATCAGAGGACTGACCTTTCTTGGTGCAGCTTATTGGTCAAAGAATGTATCTGCCCCCTCTTCCTGGGCAGTTCTTGACCGCTGTCAAAGCTTGTTTTAAGAGGCAACTATTCATTTGTTCCTCTCTGAGCAGAACGAACGGAAAAGAATCAGGAAGCACGGGGAGGCTTCAGGGAAAAAGAAGAAGGGCCTCTCCTCCCCCCCCCCCATCACAGCATCCTCCGTTCGAGGAGGGGAGCATTGCCCATCACAGTCTCTGCCCTGGTCCTGGACCAGTTTCTCACCCTTTCTTCTGGGCATTTGGACCCTGTGGCTGGCACCGGGCACCTTTTAACGACAGAGCGAGAAGCAAGAAAGGCTTCTGGCTTCCCCTTTGGCTGTGACTTTCAGGCCTCTTGAGAAGAGGCAGGTGGGAGTGGAAGGTGCTTAAATGCCCATTTTTTATCGACTTCTCCAAACAGAAGGAGTTGGCAGCTGCTGAAGATTGTCCCAAGATGTGTGCTTACAAGCTGGTGACCATCAAGTTTAAGTGGTGGGGATTGCAGAATAAAATTGAGAATTTCATTCAGAAGGTACACAGCTGGGAAGGATTGTCCCTTTCTGGGGAAAAGGGGCTAGTCCACCTGGCTTCCAAGTGGGGCTGAGAGGCTGCTGTCTTGGGCCAGGCCACCTCCTAGCTCAGCATGGTTCCCCCCCTTCCTTCCTTCCTTCCTTCCTTCAGAGGTAGCTGAGCCTCTGTGCCGGACTAGGGCCAACAGATGATTTTTCTTTTTTTTAAAGCAAGAAAAGAGGATATTCACCAACTTCCATCGGCAGCTTTTCTGCTGGATTGATCGGTGGATTGACCTGACGATGGAAGACATCCGGCAAATGGAGGATGAAACCCAAAGAGAGCTGGAGGCGGTAAGGATGTTCAAGCCTGTGCGGCAGGGTGGCCGCTTCCCAGATGTGGCCGGAAGCTTGTTGGGAGGGAGCAGAGGTCCATTGGCACACCACAGTGGCCTGGAGACCAGGAGGGGAAAGTGGGGCACCGTCCTTCAGAAAACCCCTTGAGAATTACAGAAAAAGGACCACTTCCCCAAGTCCACTGCTCTGCCCTCCCTCCTCCCCCAAGTTTTTTTTTGGGGGGGGGGGAGGAGTGGGATCCTTAGAGTGAGAGACCTTGATGTTCTCCAGGACATTTCTTAGCTCTTGCTTCTCCTAAGAAAGTGACTTTCCTCAAGGGTACTTAAACAAACCAAAGATTGACCAGTATGTCTGCCAGAGTAGTTTTTGAGATAAATTTGCTTTGTATATATGAATACTCTCCATGAAAACGTGTGCTGTCTTTTCTCTAGGATGTGGTGCTGTTTCCTGGTGATGTGTGCATGCATTTGTTTTGAATGTTTCTGAATACTAACTAACTCCATCAGAAATCTCTCCTGAAAGGGAGGATCAAAAACAGCTTGTCTCCCAAAGAGAACAAGGGGCTTAGTCTGAGGCCCCCTCCCTTCCTAAGATCCCTCGAGCCGTTCCTCAGGTCAGGATCTCCGGCCAAAAGTGCTTTCAAAAGGAAGCTTTTCGCCTAGAGGGTCATTAGCCTCCCCTCGGACTATGGGTCAGGCCAGGTCAGCTGCTGCTACCCTTCTCGCCAGGGGCAGAGCAGCTCCAGGGGTTTCAAGGTCTTCACTGGCCTGAGCAGGTCCTGTAAGGACTCAATTTTTTTTTTTTTTTGGTGCTTATTTGTAGTCCGCCTTTATTATTTTCACAAATAACCCAAGGCAGTGAACATATCCAGCCCATCTTCCTCTTTTTCCCACAACAGCCCTGTGAGCTGCTCTGGGCTGAGAGGGAGAGACCAGCCCAAAGTCACCCTGCTGGCTTTCACGGCTAAGGCCACGAAACAGGGACTCCTGGCTAAGGACATGCTAATAATCAAGGGAGGAGAAACTTGCAGGGAGCATAAACCCTTCCTGGCCTCCCTGCCTGCCAGCCCCACACAAATGCTTGTCCTCTCCCTCCCCCCCTCCCCCCCCCCGGTGCATCAGATGGCGGATGCGTCCCTCGTAAGAGCCAGAGACGGGACTGAGCAGCCCTTCCACAGAGCTCTCTCTCTGCCTCGGAAGACTCCGTCCCACAGCACCGAACGCCCAGAACGGGCTGCTGCCTTTCCCGTCACCTGTGGAGTCTCCCTTCTCCTTCCCTCCCTTCCGGGGTAGTCCAGCGGAAGCCGATCAGTTAGCCTGCTTCACAAGCTAGAGGACCGAACGGGGCTTCAGACCCTCGGTCGGTCGGTCGGTCGGTCGGTCATCCCAGCCCCTTCCTACTAACTCCTGCTGGTGAACTGCCTGGCAGCTGACAGTTTTATTTTGCACCTAGATGCGTAAGAAGGGTTGTGTCCGAGGAACATTGGCTGCCAGCGCCTAGAGGAAACCCTCGGTAGGGTCAGAGGCAAATAACCCCACTGTGTAAGTGACTCTGGCCTCTTCTGGTGAAGAAATGCAGGGTTTTGGCAATGTCCGTACCGTCTCATTCTGGTCCTGTCTTTCATTGTGGGGTAGCATCCCCCTCCTCAAAGCAGAGATCTCAGTGTTGCCGAGGACCCTCTCACAACTTGTCCCTTTCCAACATCCAACCGCTTGAGGTTTGGATTCAGGATAAAAGGCTCCTGAGCAGCCAGTGGGTCTCCCTGTCCCACACAACAGAGCAGCCTTTGGCAGCCTGGTGGTTTCACTGGGGAAAAAGGCTGATTAGTTCTTGCGGGTTTCATTTTTTCCTTCTTTGTCACGTGTGTCAGAACACATCGTTGTAGTCTAGATGGCTTTTCCCAGGCTGGCCCCGGCAGAAGTTCAAGGACAGCCTCTTCCTAAATACGTAAGCACCTGCAAAGCCCCATATTTTGCCCTCTCCTCTTCCTTCTCCTCCCCCCTCCCCCCCCCCAAAAAAATCCCTCCAGGCTCTGCCATTTTCAGTGTTGTTGTTTGCAGTCTCAATTTACTCCTCTCTGCTCAAATTGCTAACCGGGTCACTATCACAATATTCCTTTCAGTAGGTCATTGCTGGTGATGGTTGCGTTGCTTCAGGCAAAGGCTATGCCAGGAGAAATAGGCAGAATAATCTCTAATCCTTTCATTTAATCCTGTTTTATTTGAGAGCCGCAACTGTGAGTGACTGATCTTTCTCCTTTCTCCCAGTTGCGCAATCAAGGAGAAGTGAGAGGAACGAGTGCCGCGAACGATGAGTGAAGGAAAACATCATGTGCATGTGGTGTCACAATCCACCCTTGGGGTGTGAGTGGGTGCACAGTTCTTTACACATTTGTGCATGCATGCACACAGAAACATGTACACATACACACTGGGTGCATACTTGTCCTGAGCTGCTGCTCCGAGATCTCCCCAAGAGGCCCTGCCTTTGTGCTGTATATCCAAAGCTAATTAAACCCACCTAGTGTCAATTACCGGGAAGAAGAGAATGAATTGTGTCAGTTGGAACATTTCCAAACTAAAGATGCTGGACCAACTTACTTTATCTTATCTTTTATAATATAGATGAGAGATTCTCCTTGCTAGGACTTAGTTTGTCTCTGTTTAGAGTTAGATGTGCATCAGCAATTAATTTTCCAATTTGTGTGGTTCATTCGCAATTTGGCATAGACATTCTGAATGTATTTATAGATATTTATTTCTGAATTATCACTTTCTTGAAATCAGATCATTTCTAGTAGTAAGGATCAATTTCTTGCTACTGAGGTGTGTTTTTTTTTTTACAAAAAAACATTTTCACCCATTTGCTGCGAAGAGATCTATTTTATTGGAGTTTTGTATATAAAGAGTCGAAGGTTTCTTCATTAAAATTGGCAAAGTAAAAGGGAACACAAAGGGGATTATGGATCTTTGTTTTTTAGAACTGTTCATGGACTCAAACCAGTCTGGAGGAATAATGTTCCAGGACAGCCTTAGTGCTGTTTTCAGAACACTCCTCGGTCTTCCACTATTTCATCCAAGAAACTGCATATAAGCTCTGTTTTGCATCAACTGTAGGAAAAAATAACATTTTCCCAGTACCCTTTGGAAACTGATATCCTGACTTGCAAAACCTTCCACAGATTTCTTAAAAGAAGAGAGGATCCCAGTAGCAACTTATTCCAGGCCTAATTAAGTGGGAGGGCTCTCAGTTTGGCTTGCCCTACAGGAGTTCATGCCCACAGATTGACGGGGCTCCAAGGGCCAATGCAAGGACTGTTCATCCGTCCATTTTCGGGAAGTGAGGCTCGTGTGTGTCTGAAGTTGGCGGTTCAGCCTCTAACTCTGGCCACACAGGAAGGCTTGCACGTTACCCCACTGGAGAATTGGCATTGTAAATACATAATATTTTTAAGAGGTTGATAATTTGGGCTGCTGCTAATTCAAGGGCTTGCTGTGTTTAGTGCAGGAATCTGCTCCCGTCAGTACCAAGGAGAGCATCCAGTGCCAGGCCCTGCAAGACTCGGGTCTGTGCCTAGTTTGGGGCAGGATTAGATGTGAAAATTGAGAGGAAATTTTATAGTGAATGTAAAATGATTACTTCTGCAGTTTCTAGCTTAACTGCGTCAAGACAATTTAAATAAATTTGCTTATAAAATATCCACAACTCTTGCATTTGGATTCAGTTCAAGTGGGAAGGGGGGTATTACGCACTGAGGCAAAGCTGTGGGTCAGGAACACAGAAGAGATAGAAAATTGGGCTTTTTTCCTAGATGGCTATAACTCCTGCATTTCCACAAGGAAGCAATTCATGGATTCCGAGGTTCGGCCCCTCCCTCCATCCCCAATAGCGAAGGGAACATTGCAAGCCCTGGAAGATTTTTTTCTCTCTCTCTTCTAAAGTCTTACATGGTAGTTTTATTCTGCCATTCACCTAATATTTTTGAAAGTTTGTTTTTAAAAGTTGTCTCATTCTTAGCCTTGATGTTCAGATTTCTGTTGCAGTGTAAAGGTTTCTCTCATCTGCTTGCTTGAGCCTGGAAGACGAGGGGAACTTTCTGACAGAATTTGTGTCTGGAGGGAACCGTCCTTGGAGACCAGGGCAGGCACAGCTGCATCCCAAGACTCCTGCATTCCCACGATGCAAGGATATTGTCCTCTCTGATGAAAAGCCCCCCCCCCCCAATTGCAACATTTGGCAAAGTATAGATTGTGAAACTATACTGCTCACAAAAATAAAGGGAACGCAAACCCCTTCAGTTCCATGGTAAAATGTTCCCTTTTTTTTTTTGAGCAGTATATATTTGTTCATTCCCCAAAATTTATAACGTACCTTGTTCCCAGGGCTTCAGAATAGATCCTTTGCTACTGTGCTGCTGCTGCTTTAGCAAAAGATAACCAGCCATCTGCCCCATTTTTGCAGCTGCTTCCATGCAATTCATTATTTATTTATTTTTTTCTCTGATGAAAGCATGCAACTCATTAAAGCTTTAAAAGTGATTTAAATTGAAAAAAACGTGTAGTAAAAATTCTCTAAAATGCCATCTGTTTAAAACCACAGGCAATCTTAAAATTCTGTAACCCAGGACACTAATTATGAAAAAGAACAGAAGGCAAAGCTGTACAGATTTAATCAAAAGCATGAATGAAATGAACAGATATATCGGCCAACGCCAAAAGTTGAAGGGCTCAATAAGCGAAAAGGGAAGAAGGGCCACAGCTGCTGCTTTTCTTGCTGGTTGGGATGGTTTCTTCAGTCATCCTTCAAACTCAGCACACACAGAGATCTCACAAGCGTCGGTGCTCCAGGGACTGTACAAGTCTTAAGCTACATGGGTCTCCTCTGCATCTCTATCGCTCAGGGTGTTAAATGTTTGAAATCAGCCTAAAAAGGGTACAGAAAGGGCACAATTAAAATCACGGACATACATTGTTTTGAAACTGGATTCAGCAGGAGAGTAGCATTTGCTTTCCTTTTTTCTCCCAAAAGTATCCACTTGCTGCTGCTTTCTTGTTGGGGGAAGAAAAAAGCAAAGGTCCTTGCTGAGACGTTTGCCAAATGTACTAAGACTGGTGCCTGTTTTGAACATCTGCACCGACGTTTCTCACTCCTTGGTTGTGATGGCAGATGCAGCACCGACTCTGCAGCGGCAGGCCCACAGGGCTGCACGGGTTGAAGCCAGCCTGCAAGTGCAGGTGATCAGCACAGTCCAGTTCTGAAGGAAGGCGTGGCCCTCCCACAAACCCCTATGGATCAGTAGGCTTCCCAAGCTCAAGAGGCTCTTGAATGTAGGCCTTTAAATTCAAAAGTCACTCTTCCGCAGTTTACCCAGGACAAATACCACCACCCTGAAATGTCCCAGCTCTTTCCCCTTTCTTTCTAAAATGTTAAAGGCTGTACATCTCCCAATCCAGCAGGTTAGGTAATGGCAATTATTAGGTGGCTACATGAAATTGTACAGGTGCTTTTTATGAACATTCAGCTGTCTATTGCTTAAACCAAGGGTTGTACTCGGTTTTAACCTGGGGATTAGTCCTGCAGCCTTTTCAAGAAAGATGAAAGTCAAGAACATAGTAGGTAAAAGTGCCCCATTTAATGGATCTACTGATTGAGTAATAACACCAACGTTGCCCAAAGGTTGGAATCAATGTATTCTAACCAAATACAAATTCTCGGCAGCATCCTGGCCTTCTGCATCCCCTCAGACGAATGCTGAATATCTTGTTCCCAGTTTTTGTATCGAAACATCCAAATGGGAGCACGGGCCCCTTTGTTGTCCAACTCGGCCAAAGAGGAGCGCAAGAGCCTGCGGATTCCTCCAGGGTCCCTGCGAAGCCCCCTTCTCGGCCCAGGCCGTTTGAAGCGAAGGAGGAGGCCTCTCCCTCCTGTGGCCAGCAGGTGGCGGTGGAGGACGCGAGAACTCCCCAACTCTACCGGTGCCTGATTCTCCGGTCTTGCTTGCCTCCAGGCCCTTCCTTAATCAAACGCAGCTGCCGAGGGAGTGAAAATGCAGATTGTATGTTTATGAAATGGGAAGCCACTCGATTGTGCATAATTTCCTTCTCGCATGTTTGCAGAGAGGCTGAGGATATGTACTGCACATGGAGAATTATGACTGCTTCCTTTCCGCCACTTTTCTGGGGCTAAAAAGGCAGGCGTGTTTGGAAAGTCTGTTTTGCCTTTCCTGTGGGTTCAAATCAGCATCTGGGGCTGCATCTGAGGCAGAAGGTCGGTATTCCCAAGTGGCTGAAAAAGACACATTCATGCTCAGGGCTTCTCCTGGAACCAGGGCCGCCAGCACTCCTTCCTGGTGGCCTCCCACTTGCTTTACAACACTTTGGCAGAGCTTTTATGAACCCGTTAGAGAAAAAGTCAAGAACAAGAGGTCTTCCATGGTTTATGCTGATGAGCCTAAAAGCGATAACCTTTGCATTTGTGAGTTTGGGGGGTTGGGGGGGGCAGTCATTTGAAAATTCAACGAATGAGGCCAAGGACCACCTATTTCCGCAGAGAAGGGATCCAAGAGAAGACACCAAAGGCTCCATGGCAGACCAGATAACTGTTGGGCTCTTTAGTTCATGTTTACTGTAGAGTCCACAGTCATCCAATCATTTCCCACTTGTTGCTACTCTCACTCCAGTGATGCCTGCAGGGGGCAAAATCTTGTTTACAGCCAGCAACAAGGAGTCCATATTTGCTGAAATACATTTCCCAGCATCCCTGTTGGCTATGCTTTCTGGGACCGATGGGATTTGTAGTTCAGCAGCATCTGGGGAATCCCCACCCCTATTTCTGCTTAAAAGCCTACTTCAAAGCATGTAATACACACCACCTTGGCAACTTTTACTTACCTGACCCTGATCTCCCCCACCTCCATCTCCCCCAGCACTTTCCCTTGTATCAATTTTCAAAGACTCCTGATCAAAAGTTGGGGTTGTAAGTGAAGGACTACCTACATTGGCACCTCCTCTTGGAACAGGGGACACAAAGCCATTTCAGGCAATCTGATGGCTTGGATTGGATTCCTCATCTGCCTTTGTGCAATAACTATGTGAAATGCACAACTGTTAGTCAACATAGGAATGGGATGTACACCCAGTAGGAGCAGAACAGAAGCCAGACCAGTCAAAACTCACTGAATGAGATCAGGACATGATCTTTTTATCCGGAACTGACCCTAGAACTTGTCTTGATTGGGCTGAGGCCCTTCTTGTTATGCCTGCCCTTTGGGTTGTGCAAAGCCAACTCTGCACCAATGAGACTTCCACCTTGAAGGAGTCCTTCCATCGTTACCCTCAATGGGGACAGTGACCCAACATCAGCCGCAGCTTTTCAAGGGCTGTTCGCTGTGCCCCACTGCACCAGTAAAAAGAGTGCGGCATATTTGAGACTTCAAGAATAGTTTATTATGAGAAGGAGGCAATCATTTTGTGAAAGATGCCTTGTTTTTTGGATTTTGTAGTTTTTGTAGTTTTGCATTTTATAAACCCAGGGCAAACAGACCACAATACCACATATCAGCATGCTAAGCTGAAAGGGCCATTATTGCCGAGAGCGAGAGCGGAGGAGACTCCTTAAAAAGGCTGCTGCCTCTTCTTTCCTTTTGAAGAACAGCTATCCAGCTATCCAGCTGGATTTATAGGCTGAACTGGACACGGGGCAACTTTTTCATGTATTCTTTCTTTCCTGTCTGGCTTTTCTCTCCTTTGTGTGCTTCTTGCTAAATTCCTTCCTTCCTCCCTGCAATCAGCTGAACTTCTCTGGGATGCCAGTGAGCAAATGTTCCAGGAAGCCTCAGGTTCTTTCAAGAACCTGTTTTCCATACAGGCAGCTCATAACTGCCTCTGGTGTGAACCTGGAGGGTTAAGCCAGTTGTAGGTTTCTCCTAGATGTCACAGGGGTCCCAACCAGCAGTGAGAGGACACGTCCTCAGAGTCTTCTCAGCTGCACAAACCAGCCGTGGATCACTTCTCTGTGCCCTTGTCCATTGGCATTTTTCTTCAGAAGACTGGTCCCTACCCACATGGAGGTCCCAGGAAGCCCCTTTCCCTGGGTAGTGATTGGACTCAGAGCCTTCCCAACATGTCTTCCATAATCAGCTATTTTACGTTGCTGGTGTTTTCCGGGGACAAAGCGCCTCTCACAACATTTGCCCTGGATGACACCATGCAGGGTGGGAAGTACGCAAGTCTCTTCCAAAGAAGGAGGGAGATGCAGATCCTTGGAGCACCTCAACAAGCAACAACTACAAGGGCCACTTGATGTGAAATGGAAAGTAAGCCTGTCCATTAGTTTTTATCAACAACCAAGTAATGAATCAATGCAAAATCAGAACCATAAAATCAGGCAGAGACACATAGGAGGAAAAGGGCAAGGGGAAAGCCCACATACAAGTTCCCGGCACTCCTGAAATCCCTGCCCACTGCTCTGTGCTTGGAAGGCTGGTACTTCTGAGCTTCCTATTACTTTTAATTGAGGCCTTTCACAATTATTCTTCCCTATATTCCCTACGGTGTTTAAAATTGATGCATGAAACTCAGCAGTGGGGATCCCCTGGTTGGTCAGCCATGTATTTGGATAGCCCTTGGCTCAGTAGGATGCGTGAAACCAGACAGTCCAGCCATAAAGCATAGCTTGTGGCTTTGCGTACTATAGGAAATGAGCTGGCTAGGTTTGGGGGAACAAAGGCTCTGTGTGCTGTGTGGAAAGAGGCAATACTTTGCAGCAAGAGCAGGCAGGCGGAGAGACCTCCAGCCAGAGGACCTTAGGACAGCTTTAGGATCTGGGAGCAAGACTGGCTCAAAGGCTTGCCTAACCTTGGCTTGCCTAAGGTTACCAGACTTTGCCAAAAGGAGAACAGATCCTTCTTATTGTCCTCATGTTCTCCATCCAGCAGGCAGAGCTTTCAAATCAAATATGGTCCGGCTTTTTGAGCATCACTTTCTGAGCAGCTTTTCTCTCAGTGATGACAGTCTGTGACCTTAATTAGTTGATTAATACCTCCCACCAGTTTGGTCTTGCTCTCTGAAATTGACAAGATTTTAACCAGTTACCTGCTGAAGACTTCTGCCTCCTTAGACTCTAGCACATTCCTGCAATTGAAAAACCAATCTTTTTGATCTTGGAAAAAGTAATTCCATATGTACCTAGGCCTAAGTCTCTGTCTGTCTGTCTCCCATTTATCTACCTACCTACCTACCTACCTACCTATCTATTTATCTATTTATCTCTCTATCATCTATCTTATTTATTTGCTGCCAATCTCCCAGTTCAGTAAAACATCTAACGTCTTCTCCTCCTGCACCCCACCCCATCCTTGTTCTCCTGTCCAGTTCTCTATGCCCCCCTTTTCCCGTCCAGATCTCCGGTAACCAACCTCAGGCTCTCCGACTGGCCGGCTCTCTCCTTCAGGAGGGCGGCCTTCTCAGGACCTACCGACAGCCCTGGGAAAGAGCAGCCAAGCAAAGAGGCCAGCGGGACGGCTGCGTTGCTTTCGGCCTCGGCACCACTTGCCTGCGCACAGCCGTACCGTCCTTACAGCCTTCTCCGCTGCTGGACCGCACCGACCAGACCAGCGGGACTCCCGTCGGCTCGCACGCTCCGAGGCGCTTCCAGGGAGAAAGGCGGGAGGCACGAGATAGAAAAGCAGCGCTCGGCCCGGACCCGCGCGGTGGGATGAGGCGGGGCGGCGGCGGCGGCGGCGGGCCCCCTCTCCCGCCCTGCCTGTCGCTTGTCCTCTGCTGACTTCTCTTCCAGTTCGGTCAGATCGGCGCCATCACGAAGGGGAAGAACGCGCAGGAAAACTAATTACACGAAATCAATATTTAATCACAGCCCGGCATCCTGACCCGGCAGAGCGCCCCCCCGCAGCGCCCCCCCCGCCCAAAGCTGCCTGAGCCCCTTATTTATGGAGCTCGGAGGGCTGGGATCAAGGGCTGACGGGGGAGGCCGGAGTGGCCCGGACGGGACGGCAGGAAGAGAGCGGCTCCCGCAGGCTCAGTGGCGGCTCGGGACGCTCAGTGCGGTTCCCGCGCCAGGGCCGGAGGGGAGGCGGACGCCTCGCCGGGGAGCGAAGCTTTCCATGCAGCGACACCGCTTGACTCGCCTCCCCGCCGCGCTCGGGGGTCCTTAAGGAGGTGCGCCGGCCGTCGGGCCCCGCAGGCTCTGACCGACCACGGCAGCCCGGCGCTCGGGTCGGACGCCAGGAGACCTCCGCGGCCTCCTCCTTCCCACCCGGAGCTTCCCCGCAACCGGGCCGAGCGCTCGGCGGGGGAAGGGCGGCGGCGGCGGCGGCGGCGGCGCCACCTTAACAGGGAGCCCCGCCCCGCCGGGCCGCTCATTGGCGCAGCTCTAATGGCTGGACGGCATTGCTGAAATGCAAAACTTGTTGCTGCTTCCCCGGCGCGCGGCGAGAGCGCGGCAGAGCCAGCAGCCGGCCAGCCCGCCAGCCAGGGAAGCGGCGCACCAGTCGCGCAGCCCAGGAAGGCTGGCGAGGCCCGGCGGGGTCCCCCCAGCCGCCACTCCGGCGCCGGACGGCAACTGCCGCGCAAGATGTGAGTCGGTCGTGCGGCGGCGGCGGCGGCGGCGGCCGATCTCTTCCCTGCCTGCCTGCCTGCCGGCGGCGCGGACTCTCTGGGCCGGTCGGCCGTGATGCCTCGCTGAGGATCTAGTCAACCGGGACTCGAGGACAGAGCCGCAGTCACCGGCGGGATGTTTGCGCTAGATCCGTTCGACCCACACGGCGGCGGCGGCGGCTCAGGCAGGAGCGGGGTGCCGGACGAGCGGGGCGGCGGCTTTGGGCCGGGCGCGGGCCCCCAGTTCAAGCCGTCACCCTTTCACGGCGGAAGTGGCGGCGGCGGCGGCGAATCGGCGCCCGTGAATGCCCTGGGTGAGCCCTCTTCCACCCTGCTGGCCATGAACCTGACCTTGTCCGGGGAAGGCTACGGCGGTTTCCACGCCCCCCGCGGCGGCCCTCCGGAGTTGGGCCAGGCCCAGCCGATCCACGGATTCTTCGGCAGCCCGCCGCCTGGCCCGGGCGCACACCACCAGACCCAACCACCGCCCTCGCACTTCGGGGGTGGCTTCGGGCCCGAACCCAGCGCCTCCTGCCTGCACGGCGGGCGCCTCCTCGGCTATTCGGGCGGCCAGCAGACGTTCGCGGCGGACGGCGGCTACGAGCAGCATCTGGCGGACGGCCAGGCGGGCGGGGACGGCTTCGGACAGCAGAGGGCGGGACCCCTCCAGGACTTCCAGCCGCCGCCGCCGCCGCCGCCGCATCATCTTCACAATCCCGGCGTGCCGGCCCCGTGCCTGCCGCTTGACCAGTCACCTAATCGCGCTGCCTCCTTCCACGGCCTGCCGGGAACCGCCTCCTCAGAACCGCACGGCCTGGACTCGCAGAGGCGCCTGCCCGGCCAAGGGGCGGCCGCGGTGGATGCCCTGGAATACAGTTACCCGAACAGCGAGAGCCATTTCGACTTGCCCGTCTTCTCGTCGTCAGAGGCCGAGGGGCAGTTGCCGCAGTACGGATCCGGACGACAGGCTGCTCCGCCGGCAGGCGGCAACTTCCCTGGCCACTCCGCCGCCTTGCCCCGAGCGCCGGGCTCCCTGGGGAAGGTGCCTAACCAACAGTCCCCTCACGGCGTCTTCTTCGATCGGTTCGGCGGCGCTCGCAAAATGTCTCTGGGGCTGGAGCCGGGCCTGGGCGCCGGAAGGCACCACCTAGTTCAACAGCAGCCGCCGCCTCCGGCTCTCCTGGCCAGGCAGAATTCCTGCCCGCCGGCGCTGCCGCGGCCACAGCAGTGTCCAGAAGGAAGCGCCGCCAATGTGAATCTGCAGGACGGCGGCGGCCCGATTTTGCAGGCGCAGCACGGCCAGTTCGAGTATCCCATCCACCGGCTGGAGAACCGGGGCCTGCAGCACCAGCCGCAGCAGCACCAGCCGCAGCATTCCTACGGCCCGGGAGAGCCGCTGTTCAACGTGTCCCACCATCACCACCACCACAGCCAGCCCCAGCAGCCGCCCAACCAGCGATTGCAACACTTCGATGCGCCCCCCTACGCGACCCTCCCCAAGAGGCCCCGCTTCGATTCGTGGAGCGGCGCTGGAGGGGCAGGCATGCACGGGGCGCCCGCCTTGGAGAGCCACCTGTCGCCCTCCGCGGCCTATCCTGGTCTGCCGGGGGACTTCACGCCGCCGGTGCCCGAGAATTTTCCGCCGCCGCCGGGCCCGGATCCCCAGGCGGCTCTGCAGCAGCGCCAGAACGCGGCGCTGATGATCAAGCAGATGGCGGCCACCCGCGGCCAACCTCAGCGCCTCCGTCCGCCCAGCCTGCAGCAGGTCGGGCACCACCAACATCCTCACGCTGCCGGCGGCCACGGCCATCACCAGTCCCCGCACCAACACCCTGGCGAAGCCGCTTTCGAGGCGCAGGAGGGCGCTTGGTTCCCGCCGCCTCATCCTCCGCCGGGCGGTGGCGATTTGCTCTTCCGACCCGGAATCGGCGGGTTGCAGGAGCCGCCGCCGCCGCCGCCCCTGCGGATGTCCTCGGGGGGCGAAGGACATGTGCCCTCGCCCGGCGGCCTGCAAGGCCAGTTCGGCTTGAGCCCGCCGTCGGAGCGGAGGCCGAGCCACCCCGACTTCGCAGTGCAGACGTCGAGCTTTCCTTTTGGGGCCCCCAGTCGCCAGCCCACCCCGCACAGCGCTTCGCCCGGGTCATTTGGGCCTCCGACGGACTTTCAGAGCTCTGCACCTCCCCAGTCGCAGCCCCGGCCCTCGCCGGCCAGCAGCAAGCTGGGGGCGCTCTCGCTGGGCACCTTCCCCAAAGGCGGCGTCGGGGCGCCGCCCGGGAGCGCAGGCCCCAAGGAGAGCAGCGGCCTCTTCGGGCAGAGCTGCCTGGCAGCGCTCTCCACCGCCTGCCAGAACATGATCGCCAGCCTGGGTGCGCCCAACCTCAACGTTACCTTCGGCAAGAAGGGCGCGCCGGCGGCGGTGGGCGGCGGGGCCGGCGGGGAGGGTGGCAAGCGGAGCAAGCTTAGCCCCGCAGAGCCTCCCGAGACAAACGGCGCAGGGCCGCAGCCTCCCCTCACGGTCGCGACGGCTCCTGCGGGCGAAAGCAGCCTCTCCCCTAATTACTCCCCTGGATCGGGCCCCGACGCCAAAGCGGGAAGCGGACGAGGCAGGGGACGTAGGAAACGAGACAGCGGCCACGTCAGCCCAGCCGCCGGGACGACGGGCGGCGCCGGCGGCTTCTTTGAGAAGTACGGCTCGACGGCGGCCGTAGAGAGCGGCAGCCCCGGACAAGGCGGGGAGCGAAGCGGCGGCGGCACCCCCCATCTTCACGAGCCCCCCAAGGCGTTGAGCTCCCCGTCTTCTGCCTGGGCCAAGGCCGGCGGCGACCTCCTCCTCCAGCCTCCTCCGGAGCAAGCCGACCTTCTTCCCTCCCTGGACCAGGCGGAATCCTGCTCCCCGCGCGGCGGCGGCGGCGGCGGCGACTTCTCCTGCGAGGTGGAAAGCGAGGAGGAGGTGTCTTCCAGCTCCGACAACCAGGGCGCCAAAGGGTGTCCCGCCGGGCGCAGCCCGCTTCAGCCGCCCGCCCGCCCGGTGGACCACCCGCTCCTGAACGGACAGAAGACGTCGGCCCTGGCGCAGCTGGGCCTGCATGCCGGCAGCAGCACCGCTACCTCCAGTCCCGACAGCTACGGCGCCGCCCCGCCCGGCCCGGTGCAGGAGGAGATTCACCCGCTGGAGATCCTGCAAGCGCAGATCCAGCTGCAGCGGCAGCAGTTCAGCATCTCCGAGGATCAGCCGCTGGGCCTCAAGAGCGCCAAGCAGGGTCCCGAAGGCTCGGGCGGGCCCCAGAACGGCGACAGCGGCGAGCTGAGCAGCTGTTGCGAGGGCGCCGGAGCCAAGGGCGCGGTCAGCACTATCGACCTGGAGTCTCTGATGGCCGAGCACTCCGCCGCGTGGTACCTTCCCGGAGACAAAGCCCTCCTGGACGGGGAGCCCCGCGAGAAGGCCCTGGTGTCCTGGGAGAAAGCGAAGGCGCCCACGCCCGGCAAGGAAGGTAGGGAAGCCGCCGCCGCCGCGCTCCGCTCCGCTCGGGCCGGAGCCACCTGGCCCAGCTTTACTCCAGGTCCCGTGCCTCCCCCCCCCCGGCGTGGTGTAGGTCCGACCGCTGGTCTCCCCTCCGCATAGGCGGCGCTGCTGCTGAGGCACCTTTGCCTCGGAGCTGCGTCTCCACTGTCAAGCAGAGCAGGCCCCGCTTGCTTGGGTCGGATTAACGTGGGAACGCAAAGGAGGGGAAAGTGGCGCGGCCCACACGCGCTGACGCGTGAACCTCCAGGACGAAGCCCCCCGCGCAGGAGCTGCCCTGAAGACGTCCCCTTCCGCGGGAGCGCTGGTTTGGCGTGGCCTTCTAGGCCGCGTCCCGCTCCCCGGGAGGGAAAGAGGACGTCTTGGGAGGCGGAAGGACCCCGTGCCTCCTAAATTCACCTTTCCAAAGTTTCGCGCAATATAATGACTTTTGCGGAGATTCGCGGAGGGGGGGAGGCTTTTGAGAGGGGCTAGGATATTTTAGAGAGCCTTAGAAACATCGGGGAGCTCTTATGTAGGTCCACGGGGTGGGGGTGCGGTGCGGTTGCAGCCTCGGAGACGGCGCGGGTTCTGCTGGTCTGATCTGCTTTTGCCCGTCCGGGTCTTGGGGGGCTCCTGGACTTCCAGCTCTGTCGGATGGGCGAGCCCCCGCCGTGCAAGAAGCTTTCCCTGGCAACGGAGGGGCTGCCCAGAGGGAAGAGGGGATGCCCAGGGGGAGCGGAGCCCTTCTCCCAGGCTTCCTTTGGGCGAGACCTTGGGGGGCTCCTTTCCCAGGCAGCCTTCCGTGCCTTCTCTTTCATTGACGCCAGACCTGGCTGGATCAATAGCTTGTTAGCCGGCAAATCACTCCCACCTTGCCGGGCTGGCTCCTCGGCGCTTTTCCTTTGGGTAAGCAGGAAGGTGGAATCTGATGCCGGAGATCCAGGAGAGAGGCGGCCATCGGCCTTTCCTGCTTTTCCAGGGGCGGCTCCAGCCACCCCCAACTCAGAAAAAGGAAGGGTTTGGAGAGGCAGAGTTTAAAGATGAATTTCAGTGACTGGAGCTTTTCAAACGGGAGAAAAGTGATGCAGCCTTAATGCTGGTATTTTGTCCAAGGTCATCAAAAGGGTGAGGGTTGGGAAGGGAAAAAGGAAATCTTTGCCTATTTTTTTATTTGAATTATTCTGCTCAACTATATATTATGCTGTCCTTTTAGGTAACTTTTTGAAATTGGTCAGTAAGCTGTTTCTGATGTTGAACAACATGTGGGATGCAGGAGCTGTGACCTGATGCGAGCCCATCCATGCGATCCTCTTTCCTATGGAGGATTCCATGGGGCGATTCCAGAGTTGTTCCGGAGATCCCTGCCTCTCTTTCATTTCCTCCACGAGGGACAGAGAACCTAGGGAGATATGTTTCATGGGCTTCCCTGCTCTGCCATAAGAAACAAAGCAAGAGTTACTTTCTAGATAAATGTGCCAAGACCCGTGCTGTTATAGAAATTTTTTTGGCAGAATTTCCATGCATAGTGCTGCGTGCATGACTTTTGGAGATGGTTTTATTTTGAGGCTCAAAGCAAGGCTCCAGCGAAGTGGCTCCTGGGTCTGTCTTGAGCTGTGTTCCAGCACCTTGACTTTGAAATCAGGGCTAGCTGAAAGACGGTGGGTGCCTCAGCTGTTGCAGAGAGAGGATGGCCGATGGGCACCCTCTTCCCTCTCTCACAGGTAGGCAAGAGCTTGGCTTCCTGGGCCTTCCCTCCCTCTCTGGGTCTCTGTCTTTTGAGGGGGTGCATCCTGGGGCAGGGAGTCCCCAGGGTGCTGCTCTGTAGCAACCTCCCGCAGCAAATGCCTTTGGTGGCTGTAATGCCAAAGGTGAATGGATTTGGTTCAGCTTCTATTCTCCTTCTCAGGCTGTTCCAGGATGCTTAGCTACTGTTTGCTGGTTTGGCTGCCTGTCATAGTACTCATAAATCTGTCAGTGCAAGAAACTGCCCCATGGGATGGTGTGAACATGAACATTCATGGAACAGCCGCTTCCACCTGAAATGTTAATCTGGGCAGAAGGACAGGGTTTCCCGTCTCCACGGGGCTCTGCTGATGGGTTGTGAGGAGGCAATCTTGAAGGGCCGGTTTTGAAACACCCCTGGTTGAAATTGAAAGGATGGGGAAAGCATGGAGATTGCTGTCTGGCATCAAAAGTGGATTGGAAATCTGTTGTACCTGTTAGAGGGGATGTGCGTTTGTTGCTGTAGCGGCACCATTTGATCCTCTGGCCTGAGGACCTGGCCTGCTTTTCTTGAATGTCTTTAGAGAATTGTGTCTGAAGACCGTCCATGTTACAGATACAAATAGTGAGCAACACAGCCACATCACAGAGGAATTTGCAGTTGCACATATGACAAACATTTTCGTAAAGAAAGTGTTGTTTTGTCAACTCCATCTGGATGACTGAGAATCTTCATTGACAACTCTTGCTGCAGTTTCCTCATATTGTGGGGCCCATTGAGTATCTCCCCGATGGTGGGTTGCCTCAGTCCCCCTGGACCCGTCTTTAGGCAGAAGCACAGTGTGGGCCTTTTGGCCTGCATTTGTTGGATTGTGAAATAGGAAGCTATTCTTTGCTTCTCTAACCAGAGGGGGGGGGAACTGTGCACCATCATTACTTGGACATTAAGAGTTTTCTTTTCTAGGTCTACGCAGCCTAAATTTATGTTTAAGATAGGAAGACCGGAGTCTTCTAAGAAGATTCCTGTGAACAGCAAAGCAGAGAGAAGGAACCAGGCTTACTTTTCATCTTTTTAAATTAAGCATTAATTGGGGCATAAGGCCCTTCAGAATTGGAATGTAAAAAATCCGCCTGAGCAGCCAAGTGCTAGTCAATATCTTATCACCTAGACTGTGGTTTGGGGTTAAAGATGAGAGGGCATCCTGGCCTGTCTTTGTAATGGCAGGTCCCTGAGACGCAGCCTTGGGGGAATATTCAACAGAGACATGGCAGAAAGGACAGGCCTTGGGCAGCGGAGAGGAAACTGGTTCCCTCTAATTGCATCCAGGCTCACTTTTGCTGAAATATACCCGTCATTCTCCTGCAGCATTATGTACTTCTAAGATTACATAGTGGAGATTTTCATGATTGCCTTAAATCTTAAATTAGTGAAATTTAGTAGCCGGAGGGACTATCTATTGATTTTAACCAGCTGAACTTCTTTGTACTTTACAGGGAATAAGCGTGATGATATTTGTATTGCATAAAAGAAAAGGAAGGAAAAGCCATCTGCTAATCTTTGGCTCCTCTGATAAAAAAAAATGTAATTTTTGTGTGGGGCTGAGCCTCCTACAAGAGGTAAAGGATTCAGATGATAGAATCGCTAGCCAGTTTTCTCTTTGGGTGGAGAAGCATTGCACGATCCAGCATTTAAAGAGAGAAAAATATGCTTGTTTCAAAATTACAAGATGGTTTCTTTGTGAGATGCACTTAATTTTAATTTGGTAAAGAATGTGCATCAAATATATGAAACAGGAGTCTCTGTCCACAAACTTTCTGGATATAAAAACCCAGGATAATTTCTTAGATTTGGTTTCCTTAGTTCTGTTTTAAATGAAGTATTAATTATTATAAGACTTTACCAAATGATGTATAGCTTAATAATAGCATTCAGTATTAATCTGACTATTCAGTGCTGAAATATTAAAATGCTACCTACCAAATGCAGATATTTTACTTACATTTTCAGAAGGGAAAAATTATGTGAGTTCAAGAAAATACTGTTATTGTATCTAGTTGAAATAGTGTTGCTAATATCAAGACAGTTTAATATTTTAATTGGTTACTGAAGAAAATGTTATTCATTGGGATGTCCCAGCATGTCTCCTACATGCATAAATACAGAGAGAATCATTGTGTCTTAAAATAGTCCTTTTTGACCAAGGATTCCTGTGGCCTAAGCCTTCCTGCTTGGAATCCAGGAAAATTTGCTTGCAGGGACTCAGGTTTGGCTCATTCAGTTGAGGCTGCACTGGGATCAATATTTAGTAATCACTATGAATTAGTAGTTTATTTACTGTTTTGTGGTTGTTCTGTACAAATGATTTTCTTATGGCTTAGATATGTTTAATTTTACAGCTCTGGAATTCTTCTACCTAGAAATCTTTCTAAAGCATAACAGCTCCATTTGTTTCATTCTGTGGCTTTTAAAAAAAAAAGAGTTCAGAAAACAATGATAATGCTGGAGCTTCATCAGAAAAAAGGCAGAGAAGGACAAAAAAATACAAAAGGCACGTTGAGCCCCAGGGTACCCCTCAGTTGAGATTTTGCACCATCAAGTCTAAATATAGTATCAGAATTTGGATTCATGAAGTATTTCCTTTGTTCTTGGCAGGGCATGGAAATAACCACTCACCCTTAACAATTTCATGGTGGAATCTTTCCCGCCACCCAATAATTTGATGCAAAGCATACCTACATCTGAATGGAGAGATTTGGAAGCCTCAGCCCGCAATGCTGGCCTAACTCTTCTCTTGTACTCCCTTCCCCATCACCTTTATGTCCTGCCAAAGGAAAAATACACTAACACCAAGGCAAAAGCCGAGACTGCTAAAGGGAGAGTGGGTAGGATGTTTTGTTGGATGCCTTTGTTTTTCATGGGAATGGACGTGGAACCCTTCAGACCCAACTGAGCATCTCAAGCAAAGCAGATTTAATAACTGAAGTTAGTTTGAGTCGATTCGTGTTAAAATTCTGAGAAAAGTAGTTTTCAGCCTTCATTTTGAAATTCTGTATTTCATTAGGAAAAATCCTGCTGCCAGTTGACGCGTCTCTTTTTCTTCCATAGTTTGCTCAGTGGTGAGGATACAATGAAAGGGTCTTGGCCACGCAGGGTTAATTGTCCCCATGCCTCAGAAGCACAGGCAGAGCAGAGGGAAGCCTGGGGAAGCCCTCGGTCCCTGCTTCTCTGCTGCTGGACGAGTAGCTGCCTGTTCGCCTCAGACCAGG